TGTGGACTCAAGTAGATCGGTTTGATTCGATCGAGGACGCTGGGACAGGTGATGGCGATTCTATCTTTTCCTTGATGAATGATGCGTCCACAATATTTCAGCTCATCACTTTCCACCAGGCCAAACTTGAACTCAACTTGAACAACTTCCATCGTCTTTTGCATGGCCTCTGATCCGGCCCACAGTAAATCATCAACATGACAGCCCAGGAGTCCTGCGATTTGGCCTTGTTCGCCAGGCAGGTAGTAGGCCAATGTCTCGAGTGAGATCGGCTTCAGGCCATTGCGGAGCAGGGTGTCATGGAGGGCTTTCCAAAATCCTCTGGGCGCATCTCTTGTCTCGTAGACGTTCTTCTTGGCCACAAGCAAGCTGCCGGGCTTCACTTCAACGTCCGGGATGTCTCCTTTTGGCAATGACATTGCCAGGACACGTGGGATGCCGGTGCCCTGCAGGAAGGCAGCATTAATGTCTCCGGCTCTGAGCCGGGTGCCAGTGGATGCCGCCAAGCTGATGATCATCTGGAAGGATCAGCTGAAATGTCGTGGGCGAATCGGTGCGGAGGTCATTGTTCTTCTCAAGATCTCCTCGCACAACAAGGCGATTCTTCCAGCGAGGCTCTTCGTGCTGTTCGGCCTTGTTCACATCTACCCATCGGGTAGATAGGATCATTGCTTCAGGGTGATCGGCCAATAATTTTTCCTCTTCATCAGGAGGGACAACGAAGACTGCATCGAACCGTTTCCAGTTGTTCCACTCCTTGCCTCTGGTGCCGTCCAGGGCTTTCCTCACTTCAGGATTGGCTCGATCATAGTTGATCTCTGCCCCGGCACCAACTTGTCGCTTCTTCTTGTTGAAGCGTTTTACCAACATACAATGGAGATGCCATTCTTTTTCATGCTTCAGCTGGCCAACGGCCAAGAGGCCTTCTTCAGAGCTTCTTGGTGCTGGAACATTCTGGGCTTCACGGACAGGTGAACCTGAGCGCTCTCTTCGTGATAGGCCTGGAGGTGGCCTGATGCTTGATGGATGTCCGTCAAAGGCATCGAGCTTCCGATGCATGGCTTGCTGCAGTGGTGTAGGCTCAGGTGCTGCTGCCTGAACTGGTGTATTGGGTACTGTTGCGGGGATCATCTCGATCTCTGGTTCGGTGGTTTGTCGTTTAGGAGCTGGTGCTGCTGGTTGTGGTAGCGGATGTGTTTCTTCTTCTTTAGGGATCATTGGTATATGATCTGGAGGTTCGGATGCAATATATTCCTCTCGAAGCGTTTCTTCTTCTTTAGGTGGTCCTTGGCCACCAGGTATTTCAATGCACCCAGGTTGTCCTTCATTTTTATCGCGAAGCCGGTAGTCGTTAGAGATGGATGTGTTCCCGGCCGCGTTCTTCTTCTTGGAGTGCCTCCCTCATGCGCTTTCTTGATGGACGTCGTTCCAAAAGTCGTTTGGTGAAGATCTCTGTATTTGAAGCTGGGCGCAATGAGGTTTCTGAGGCGACAACCGGGGACTCCAGCATGGATCAGCCAAAGAGTGGCCCTTCCTTCTCTTCCAATGACACGAGCCGGGCCGCACCATCGTCCACGTCGATGGAAGCACACGAGGTTGCCAGGGACATAGTTCGTGCGGACCGGTGTGCTGATCTGATTCGTCGGCTGGAGTTAACCTTGTTGAATGCCATCTTGGCTGCCTGTCGGATCTGCAGGCGAAGGGCAAAGGTGTCTTTAGACTCTTCGTACAGGTTTGTTTGAAACAAATAGCGTCATGTCAATGTAAGAATCCTGTCTGAATTCCATTGAAAGACACGGGATTTTAGTCGCAACTGGTGGGCGCGTTTTTCTGGAACTGTCTTAGGATTCACCTCAGAAATTTGGAGACTCAATTTGCGCAACCTTTTGAATCGTGCGGGGGTATGGAAACACCTAAACCCTATAAGTGACCTTCGAGATATTTCAATGACGTTCCAAAAGAATTGATGCAAAACACAAAGACTCACGAACGAAGTTCTCTCTCGAGAATCGAGAGGATCCAGCTTGAATTCGAATTTGCTAGGTGACACTTTCCTTTTTGGTCTATGGCCTTTTGACGCTAACTAAGAATGTTTCTCTTCTGTTCCTTTTTGGTGCTTTAGCAGAAGGAGTCGGTGTGTTCGTTTATGAGTGAGAACAATTTATTTGCAAACAAATAAAAAATTTTCGTTCTGTACACAACATGTTTCCACCAAATGATTGACCGAAACTCTGGTCACTCTCGATGGAATCAATGTGCAACTGCATTGAAGACGGTCGAGACCCATGCACGACTCAGAATTCTTTTGTGGCACTAGATGTGCGTTGAACTTAGATGGCATTGACCTTAACAACCTGTCAAGAGCATAGCAGCCCAGATCTTAGAAGTTGAAGCTTATGCTGTCGAGCCTAGATTGTTTGAAGTGACAGCAACCTTGTACACCTCCAGCTTGTTGAACATGGTGATTGAACGCTGAACGCTTGATACCTGCTGAACTGTGGCTTTCCTATGAAGGAAAGAATGTGGTGAATAGAATGTGCGGGTCAGCGTGTTGAATACACTTGGTTGCATGTTGTTGCGACAGTGCACGCTTGGAGACACAATTGAAGATTGTAAATGGAGCGTGTAATCAACAGTCCTTCTGTTGATATCTGTCGTCGGAATTGATGGTCGAATCTTTGTTTAGTGCCGAATTACTTTTTGGAGGCAATTTCATGAAGATTATTTTGCGTGCAGACCATGCATGCATTTGAGTCTTTTTGGGAACAAGTATGAAGACAAGTCACGCAGTTTGCTTCAGATCTGCGGACTGTGGCACTCCTCTCGGAAACTTGATGACCGTTTGTTTTTGGTTTTGAGGTAAAAGAGAAGGACCGTTTGCAATGCCCAGGACATTTCACGTCGATGTCTCGTTATCGCCATAATATGTGGCTCAAGTACTCAAGAAGTGAGCGGAAAAAACATTGAATAAGTGCTACAGACCCAATACGCTACCTGCGCTACCGATAGGTGTTGGGGCGCTGGTCCTGTGAGCTGGCTGCGCGTGAGGTGGAGACAGGTTGGTGGTGCTGGTGCCGGTGCTGTGAGCTGGCTGTGCACGTGGTAGTGGATTGGTGTTGGCGCCGGGCGCCGGTGGGGTTCGTTATATACGTGGTGGAGATTGGGCGCTGGTGCCGGGTGTTAGCTGTACGCGTAGTGGAAACACGCCAATATTGTATGTAAAATTAGAGTTGCTGCCAATGCAAGCTACAACCCAGAAAAATCTTTTGCATTCTTTTGCCATATGGGTCTATAAAAGAATAATATATATTAAATCTTAAATTATATTATTAAAATATTTTTTTATCGTCGGACATATCTTATATTGGATTCCCCCCATAAATTTCCATAGGTATGATTTAAGAGGGCCTAGCACCAAGATGGCATTCAAGATAGTATTTTTAGCATAAATAATCCGTCTATTACGAAAAAAAAACCCTAATAAGGAGTAAATTAGATAATTTATAATATATAAATATGTAAATCTATCGCGACGTAAATACAATTAAATAGGATTTCAATCCAATAATATCCAACAAAACAAATAAACAACCTCCGCACCAAATCCTATTTTTAAAAAATATCCAATCTAAAATCGAATTAAATAAAAAAAACACAACTATAAAAAAAAAAAAAATCAATCAAATATCAAATGCCGAATACATATTCAAATTAAATTAATATTCTATAAATTACTTAAAATATATTATATATATTTTACATAAATATTAATTAATTAAAAAATATTATAAATATTATTTATTCAAAATATTCAAATAATATATATTTCAATATATTTATATAATAATTAAATAATTAGAATATATATATAAATATATTGTTATATAATAATATTAATAAATTCATTCCAAATATCAAATATTTATAATTTTTTACATTCTAAATATAATTTAATCATTAATTTAGAATTAATTTATAATAAATATATTTATTTATAAATTTAAATATATTATATATTAAATTTCCAAGATTCAAAAAACAATTAAATTATATATAAATATCAATTTAATAAAATATAATAAAAATAAAATCGCATCAAATATAAATAAAAAACCAAAAATTATTAATAATTCCAAAATTCTTTAAATAATGTATAAATATATAAAATTATAAATTTATATAGATATTTTTAATTGTAATAGCTAACCACACTCACTGTCCGCGCCCCTAAACTCTATGATTAGGTTCTATAGCGAGGCTCTATATCCGGGGCCTTATCCTCCTTTTATCCTTGCTTGGTCACTGCCCGGATCTTGTACTCCTTTTATCCTATTATTCCTATTATTGTCCTCTGGCCGCGATGACCAGCCCTAGCCACACTAACTAGCCGCGCCCCCAAGCTCTATGGCCGAATCGGACGCCCGCGAAAGAAGCGGGTTCGGGGGGAACCCGTCTCATACTATTGATAGATAAGGCTCCAGATAATGTGCCTATGAGACGCATTGGACATTCTATATTACATTCTCAATTTTTTCATTAACATGCTCAACAACTAAAGAGGAGTGTGGCCGAACAAATTCTTGGGGGGAAGGTTGGGCGTACCAAGAAATCGGTTTAAACTAACATTGGTCCAAACGAATCGTTTTGAAACTGTTTGGGGTCTATGTTGGGATAATGTTTAAATAAACAATTTGTTATAGGAAATGGCCCAAAAAGTGTATTGCCACAATTGCCCACTCTCATAACATACTACTACAATACCACTATAACATACTACCACGACAAACTACTACAATACTACTACGTCAAACTACGATACTATAATACTACTACGACAAACTACCACGATACTAGCAGCGTTTTCAGAGCGTATGCTTCGGGATATGCTTCGCCAAACTCGAACATCCCAGCCCTACACAAACTGGACACCTTAAAAAAATACAAACCTACTTCATATAATCAATAACATCAAGTTTCTTTACTATATTGTCTGTATAATATTTCAGAATATCAATAAAATGATACATGTCAAATTATCAGTGGAGCCGCGATCTTTGGCAGCCTGCCACGATGTCAATCCCCAATTTGCCCGAAAACATGATCGTATCTCTGCCTGGATGACAAGCTGCGCTGCTTCTTGCAACACGCCTGCCATGCCGCGTCGTGGATCCTGACAGGTAGATCACATGTCAAGTTCTACAGCCGGATCACATCTGTCCATCTTGATAGTAATATATATATATATATAGTGGTAGATCCATAGGAAACTTCCATCTCAAGCACAGGGACATACACCGTCCATGTCTGTCCCGTATGATTTTCAACGTGTGACTGGAGCTAACCCCACAGACCGATGGGCGTCACATCTCAACCTGTCCTGCGCGGAGCTCAAAAGGTCCCAGACCAGATCCACAGCAAGTTGGTCCTCGAGCACATCCCATATACCATCCTCAGAACGTCCAGGTGGTCAACCCTATGGATCTTTCATGCTAGACGCCCAGAATAGAGAAGTCCCTACAGCGTGCCCATATGTATTTCTGATTCTCTTTGAAGAAGACATGCTGAGACCGCTGTTTATTCACTGCAATTGAATCCAATTCATTTGACCCAGGCAAATGGCATGTGCTTTCAACTACCCGCACTCATCAAGGCTCTGGCACTAGCTAAAACAACAAAGAGGGGCGCGCTGCCGGTCCTTGCCAAGAAGTGGTTGGTGGGCTCATAAATTTAGAGCAGTGCAAACACTTTTTCATCAAGAGGTCTTGCAGTATTGCTTTTTCCATGGTATCACAGAGAAGCCATGTGCACGCCTGCATACATTCCAATCCTATCGTTTCTAAATAGAACTTGAGCCAACGGACCAAGCTCATCTCAATCGGTCCAAGGCCGTGGCAAGTCTTCTCCCTGCACCAAACATGCGCACAGGATGGCTGTGGATGGGCCAATCTACTCAGCTGAATAGTCTGTCTATCGACCAAGCTGGGGTTCAATTGGTAATGCTGTGGCGGCTGGCACCATGATTCACTCTGACATTCACAAGCTTTCAAGAGTATTGCCCTTCCCATCCCTTCCCAAGAGCAAGTGACGAATAGAACAATTCATCGCAGGCGATGTTTATCAGTGTATGTTACTATGTGTCGAATGTTTTTTCCCACCAAATCATTAATGTTCGCATCTGCTAAGCCTCTTTACCGACAAAATCCTGTGTGCACTCCTCTCAGGTGCATCATTATAAAGCACGATTCTTCTCTGCTAAAACCTGTTGGTACAAAGGGCTTTCATGAAGTCCTCTTTTGCTGATCTGGTCTGGTGACATGCTGGTTGCCCTCTTCCAAGGCTGTGCAGTTGAGAGGAGCATCTCTTCACTCTGACGGCCTCTCTGCAGTCCGCGCCCTCAGAACCTAGTAGGGACAAGCTTCTCACTCTTTTCACTGCCCACATGGGCACAAATAGAGCTTCGTTCGGAAGCAAGTTCCCTCACGACAGTATAAAGTTGGTCGAACATATAATCTACAAACAGCCACCTGCCAACCTTGGAGCTCAATGTCTCAGCACGCTGATCTTGTCTGACAAATGTACGTATCCGATTGTTTTCTTGCTATATAGGCCTCGCTTTGGTGCCTTTCTGTACTGTGTTCAGCTTAGTTCCGCACAATGTTTGAAGGGCAGCGACCAAAACCTTGCACTTTGTGCCAGGACGGTCTGTTCCATCTGGACGGATTCTGTAGAATCGTCTAAAGGCACGATGTTCAAAAACACAAATCAAGCGGTGAATTACTGGTGCTTCCGCAAGACTCGGTGGCGATTTGGGTCATGCACTTCTGCAAAGCTCACAAGAGAGTCGTACAAGACATATACTGAACAGGATCCATCCCTCAGCTTCTTGTTACTACTAGTAAGGCACTTGTTACTAGTAGCTTCTTGTTACTACTAGTAAGGCACCTGTTACTACTAGCGTGGCACTTGTTACTAGAAGCTTACAGTAACCTCCCGTAAAGGAACCGGTTGCAGGAAATTGGTCGACGCTCATGATGACTGATTTCTTTTTGCGCCCGGGTCTCCCTGAGTGACTGGCTCAGGTTCTGCAGTGACCAGCGGTCGACGCTCAATGCCTGTGAAGCTCCTAAGAGGATGCCATGGAGGCAACGATGCCAATGGTTTAGTGTGGATTGCATCATGCATCATCTGCATCTGGCAAACATCTCATCGCTTCCTCTTCCTTTTTCTTGCGAATGCGCCAGCGACGCCATGGCTTCGCTGTAGTTTCTGTCTTTCTTGGATACTTCGGCGCCCCAGCTCAACTTTAACTTTTGTGTCCTGATGTACGGCATGCTAGTTATTCAACCATATCCCTTGCTACTATGAACCCATCACTACTAGGGTGGAGGCCATCGCTACTAAGAACCCAAACACAGGTTACTTCAAGGTGTGCTGTCGGCAGTCCTTGAGGTTGCCAAGCCAGCTACCCGTGCTGAGCGGGTTGCATCCCCCAGGCTTCCCTGCCAAAGTGGTGATCTGTACCGTCTTTACTATGTCACATGAAATGAAATTAAACACGAGCAAGACATACATGGGACAACAAAACATGACTATGGAAAGTATGTAAAGTGAAAAAACTCAACGTTCAGGAGGGGGAAGATGTTCTTTCGCTCTCTCAAACGGGGAGACGACATATTTTATTTGTTTAATCAAGGTTCAAGTGTCAAATATCTAGATTGTGGCTCAGTGGGGTCAAGTTCAGCATCCGAGGTGTCATACAAATTGAATCAAATCGACATGTGCTTGCCTGGTCTGCCTTCAGCCACACGATCTCTCCTCCCAACTCCTGCAGTTTGGACTGCCGGCCGAATAGAAGTCTGCCACACCCCTGAATGGACTGTTGGACAACGAAGTGATGTTGTCCATATCATCTTGTCATTGCACAGTGGTCTACTCAGTCTGCTTGCACAAGGAAAATTCTCATTTCGTCCTTTCAAGGTGACCGTTTCTGTCCTAACACAGCTCTCCCCCATGCCTTGCTTCTGCAATCAGAATATGATCTGCTCACAACCCAACTATAAACCATTTTGGCACGTCTCCTCGATGCGACGCTTCTCCTCTGGCGAACCGGGCTTGTGATCCTGTGCGATGAGAGTTTGCAAAACTGCTAGCTTTTGAAACTAGATGGCAATCGTCTATCATGAACTATGATGATGTCACGACTCACAAATTGTTCTTTCACAATGTGGGCCAGAGCCTTGGTAAGACGTACGGCCCGCAGCTCGCTCAGCATGCGCAGGGACTGCCTTTCTCACAAGTGTTGCCCTTCAAGCATGTCTCTCCAAGAACATCCAAGAACCATCGAAGAAATCCAATGAATTCGATCCACCGATGTTGCCCCATCAAACAGATTCGAGATAGTTTGTGAAGCCATGTATGTAATCACATGCAATATACACATACCAATTCATATAGCAAGCTTCAGCTGACCATGTGGAACGTTCGATTCATACAAACACCCATGGACGCTCCGAGGTTCCGGGCGAACGGAAAGGCCTCAAGGTGCCATCTCGCAGCAACCGCACGACGCAAAAGACCCGGCGCGGGCGCCCGGGACCAGAGTCTGCCTGCGGCGTTTTGGTGGTGCACTGGGGATGCAAAGCGGGGGGCAGCACAAGGTGAGCTAAGGCGCAAGCGATGCGGACCTGCCAGGGTGCTATGGAGGAATTTGGACTTGCTAAGAATGGTACAACTCGTAACTAGTCTTCACTTTATTAGCCCAAGGCAAAGACTGACATTCAAGCACAAAAGCAATGTGTGGATAATTCTGGGGGGGCCTCGACCACAGTGCCCCGCTGTCCACGCAGCTCATCTGATCGCGAATCCAACACCTCAGGAGGGGTGTGGAGTGGCAAGAGATTTGTGCATTCAAGCCGAACACTTGCAGTTTAACAATAGTTTAACACTTGCAGTAATTAGATATCCACCTTCCACTGCCACCAAAGAATCATCACAGCTCTTAGAGGCTCTCAGCCATGCTCTCGTGATCGCGTGATCACTGCGCTCCCCTTTTGGAGTCGACGACATCTTCTGCTCGTCTAGTGAGTCCAGTGGATGTCTCCCGTCGTCACCAGCCTCAACTCTGGCACCTGGTGGCCAAATGGACTCCTGCAGGAGGAATTGCATTTGCACGTTCTTCTTTTTGCTAGAGGTTTGCTTTCTAAAACCCTTGACTGACTCGAGGCCATAGTGTGAAGACGACTTTTAGTCTGACATTGTGAGCCACACCCAAATCACTTTGCTGCAGCCTTAAAGCCTGCCCACTGTGCATACCAATAATTAATAATGAGGCATGACTGTGCACCCTTCAGAATGGCCTCCGGCAAAGTCGTCTCACCTGCCGTTTCATCAGGCCAAGCTGTGAATCTGTTGTTTTTATGCTGGCTTCAGGTCCAAGAAACTCGGATAATGCCAACTTGGACAACTCCAACAGGATTCTCTTCAACTAACCAATCCCTCCAAGTTCGCTGGTGTCAGTTGACCCACACGAACTCTCAGGCCTTTGCTCGGCCAGGTCCCTGGCGAGGTGGAGGAGTCGGGGGATCATTGCGGTTCCTTGGTTTCCTTGCATGGTTCCTTCCTGGGTGCCTTCCATGGTGAGGCATTCATGTGCATTCTATGGACTTTTCATGGAATCTCGGGTGAGGTGAGGTGGTCAACACTTGTTGTGCTCAGAGCCTCGCAAGGCCGCCACTGCTCGGCAATCTCCCAAGTTCGCCAGGTGCAGAGTGCAGTTGCACAAAACGCCCTCAGGGACTCTGCAGGTAAAAGACTTCGGGCAGGGACAAGGGAGTTGGCATAGGCATAAGGCCATAAATAGGGGAAGACAAATACGAAGATGGGAGAAGGCTTCTTCACATTGTCAACGGACTTTTTTCCACAAATGAAGTGAAGATCCAAATGGTTCAAGATGTTGCTCTCAAGCTCAGCCACAGTACCACTAGAGCAGTGCTGCCCGTGCCCAGCTGCTCTTCCGAGTTTCGATACTCCAGCTGCTCCTTGTGAGCGGAGGGGAATGTGAACTTAACAGAGCAGCGAAAGGCTATGATGACGTGGTAAGGCTGTGGATAATCCAGGAGGGTGACACCAAAACATACCGATAACCAAGGCTTTAGCAAGCATTGAACTAGAAAAGGGCAATGGAACCTGTAACCGCTCAGAATCTCCACGTGCGAACCAGATCGAAAGGCTGAGAAAAAGAACATGTCCTTTTGGTGTCCCAAGTAAGTAGCGTCCTTGCTCCTAGTAGTAAGGCCAGGAGCCCCCAGTAGCGTCCTTAATCGTCCTTACTCCTAGTAGTACGGCCAGGAGCCCGTGAACATGTCCTTGTCCCAAGTTTTGGTATGTGTGTGTGTTCCTTCTTCCTTGCCTTGTCAAAGGCGGCAAAGGCAGCTTCCAGTGCAGAACTCACACTCCTGCGATTGCACATATGAATACACACACATATATATATATATTATATCGTTCTATTTCATTCTATATCAGGATTGTGAGTACTATGGCGCAAAAGAAACAGGCTTTGCATGGCTTTGCCACTGGTCAATCTTGGAACTTCCGAAAGCACCGCACTTGACCGGGCCGCCCCGTTAGCCGCCTGGGCCCCCGCAGTTGAAGGCGTCGATGGAGCGATCGTGCCAACCAGCTGGCAGTCCAATCTCCACCATGGCCATCGAAAATGCCCACGTACCCAGCCTGGCCGAATCATAATGATCATATGATCATATTCATATACAAGCATAGACTCCAAACAGGTTTGTCCGTAGGAACTGTTGTTCTCCTCACACAGCAGCGTAAAGAGTACAACATGACAATAATCAAGGCACTTATCAACATAGCGCAACCACAAATGTCTCGTCAAATTCCAAGTCAAAGGCTCCCACATGCCCCTATGGCCATACTGTTCAAGGACGAAATCCTGTACTGTACCGCCTGCCATTGGGCCTATCCATATCTAAATCCTTGCATAACATGATGTTTTAATATGTTTTATGATGCGTTCTGCGGGGTACAGACTTGTTGTTCATCCACAGGACGTCTGGTGCCCGACATGGCCTTGCCACCATGGCAAGATCCTGAGATGTTCTGGATGGAGTGTCTGTCCTGCAAATGAGAGCAAAAAGCTTTTGCAATTCCAAATACCTACCATTGACGCAACTTACTTTTGTAATTACCACCGGAAGCTCTACACTCACAAGATTGCGTCACCTGTCCAGATTTACATTCCACACAAAAAATTTTAATCCATAAAAGCTGAGATGAAGGAAGTACTGACGGAGTCCTCCATGGCTTTGCGACGTCCGACATCGTCGCTGGAAGCCACATGGGCATGCAGGCCTTGCTCTTAATTCAGGCGCTTCACCATCGGCGAACGAACCATTCGGCATAGACTCATAGATTGCCAGAGGGAGGCATCGGGATTTGGGTCGTTGCAATTTGATTTGGAAAAACACATTTGACTTGCTTGCTCCGTTTGGCCATACCACCTCCCAGTGAATGGCGTGTAACAGGGTCCATAATACAAGATAATTACGTTATGCTGTGTGTTCTTTTTACAGTTTGGTCATGAAATGTGGCGCGTCAGGTCTCGTTTTTCAGATTTATGACGGTCAGGTCTCGTTGTGTGAGCTGGAGTTTTTGTTGGTCATCCTTACCAGCTTGCGCCTGGACAAGACGAGGCCACCGTGTATTCTCCACCGAGTGAGTTTTCCGCTTCCTCACCTCGTCAAGAGGGAAGGTTTAGGAATGGACAACTGAAGACAAACACATCTTAGGCCAGTCTTGAATTTGGGGTTCAAATACCTATGGTTGGGGGTGAAGTTTTTGGAGACCCTGAAGAATGTATGAAGATTTCCACCTTGGGTTGCTCAGAAATCCTGTTGGTTGTCTAAGTCTAACTCTCTTCGTTTGGTATTGAGACATGACCTGCCTTCATCTTCCCATACGGCCAAAGCAGGTGCATCCTCCTGAATCAGCATCTTGGAGCCATGAAACATAATGAAACCAAAGCTGGAGCAGCTTCAACGTGCTTCAATCATTCAAAACTGGCGGCACCGGTTCAAAGGTTCAAACCAACTCCTTTCCCCAACCTCCCCAGCACCTGAGATACTCAACATGACAAGAACATCTTTCATCTGAAACCGCTCCACTCGCCCGCCTCCTCACTCCAACTCCAGTCGCTCAGTTGACCTGGTTAGGAGAAATGCGGAAAATGCCACTCGCTCATTGTGGGGAAGAACGAAAAGGGTCGACAAGCTATTAGAAACAAGAAGCTACTAGTAACAAGTGCATCGCTACTAGTAACAAGTGCCTTACTAGTAGTAACAAGAAGCTATTAGTAACAAGAAGAAAGCACAAAAAATACTGCAGAAGTCTTGCAAAGGCGCCGTCCAGGGTCTCTGGTGTCTCGGTCACTTCCTCATCATCAACCTGCTGTGTGTGAACGTCTCAATGCGCTTCAACATTCAACGCATCGAAGGGTTGATATGGAGAAGAAAGGTCGCAGAAAACGTATTCAGTTCATCAGTTCATGGGACTATTCTTGATTCACTGCAACATCATGCTCCATAAAATGTAGATATGACATATGTCAAATAAATGGATTCAATCACTTTAAAGGTCTGTCTAGCTCAATTTGGGCATTGTCTCCGCTGTCTAGCAATGAAAGTTTCGACGCGCGTGACAAGATCTGCGTATGAACCTCACACCATACCATCCACAACTGACATACTTGATCATGCCCTTAACCCAAAGCCCCCACCTGCGAGATGCCAGAGGCTGCGTTGGCTGTAGATTTGAAGACTCGAAGTGGAGGAAGGTCCACTCCATCATCAAACCAGGGATGCTTCAAGGCATCCTGGCAACTCTGTGCAGTGAAAGGGTTGGGAGTTGGGAGAGTTTATCATTCATCATCCGTACAATCTTGCTGGTCTCTCTTCAAATGGAGGTCTCTCAGACCTTCAAAGTCAGCTGGACTCCAGCCGGACCAATCAGAATTCACCGCACCACGCCTGCGCCTGGATCCGTTCATTGGGATCCCAACTTAGAAGCCTTCGAAGCAAGTCGCGGCCGGCGGCATTCGGCAAGCCAACGCCAGCGGCATCCTGGCGGCGCGTGGAACAGTCAAAGCAACCAGAATCTTTGACCCGTTTGTACCTCAAATCACATGGAAACAACCCAAAGCATGGGCACAGCGCCAGCAGGAAATGGAATCCTGAAGCAAACAGTCAAGAAGGGATGGCTAGAGTGCGGCTAAAGTCCCTGAAAATCTAGTCCCTCCTCCTTGACACCGGGCGAAGAGATCCAACATCTCAAAACATAAGCGACAATCACGAACCAACGCGCCAAAGCAATTTGCAGCAGCGGCAAAGGGTAAACAAAGACATTATGTAGAAACTGTGCAACAAGCGCCTGTACTTGAAGCCTTTCCGCGAACTCGGCATCCGAGCATTGTCGTGGCTCACCTGCCTAAGTTGTGCAAAGCACTCGCTTTGCAATGCCCAAAGGTAAATGGAAGAAGGGTAAAGGAGCACTCCTGACTGATGTGAGTTGTCTCCACCCAAAATCAAAAGGTAGGTAAGTATTTACAGTAGATTGTAGCTTGACGGCTAGATCAGTCGCATTTGTTGTTGTTGTTGTTTAAAGGAAAAAAGGTAACGTCTTCAAGCAGAAGGCATACAATATAGTACCCCAACTTTTTTGGGAACACACCAGCTCTGGTGTGCTTCACATATGCAAATCCATCTTCAAACGAACGCCGAGGCACTAAAGGCCCAGACAGCTCAGGTTCAAAAAACCAGCGCAAAGGTGCTTCGGTCCAAACTCCACGAGGACCCAAACACAAGTCCAGCAAGGCAAGGAGCATGCGGCCTGACATTGTGGGACGGAACCAAACAAAACCATCATATGCCATATGCGGCATATCTTAACACATTCACTTATTGGACAAAAAGTTTCTTTCCCAACTGGACGTGGTCACACCGCCCTTATAAAAGTGCAACGCCGTAGGTTCAATAATTCTGGGGCTCAGTAATGATCAGGCTTAATGACAAACTGACACTGTGAAAGCTCTCGGAATGCGCAGAAAGTCTGTTCACGTCGGAAAAGACCTGTATACCTCTTGGAGTACTTCTGAAGCTAGTCCAATGTTCCCGAGAGTCCAACATCCTGATGCTCGTAATGAAAACCGTATAACATTGAAGCTTCGTGTTCCTAGTAGTAAGGCCAGGAGCTACTAGTAGCACACTTGCTCCTAGTAGTGATGACCTTTGTTCCTAGTAGCTTCTTGTTGCCTTAGCAAAAGGGAACAAAGGGATACAAAGGGTGTCTTTTCCAAGTCTCAGGGAGAAGCGAAAACAATTTCCGCAGTGGGTTGGCCCAGCTTGAGCTGCCAAGTCAGTGGGGACCTTATCAGATTATCAACCAGAGTTGACAACAAGGGGTGGTGCGCACGTGACGGAGGACTTCTAGACAAAACCATCCAACATAACAGCTAGCAGCTAGCAACTCCAGGAGTTCAAGGAGTGCACCCCACCCGGCAGTGCCTTGTGCTCGACGCTCTTCGGGGACATTCTTGTGGAGCCTTGTGGAAATGCAAACGCATGGAAACGCTGTTCAAAAAGCGAAACTTGACAATTGAGCAATGTGTTTGTGCTCACCCAGCCACTCCTGGGTAGCATAAAAGAAGGACACAATTTAGATGGGTTTATCCAAAGGAAAAAGACCATCAGAATGATCAGGTCTGGAGATTGATTGACACCAAGAATCAAACGTGCTCACTTGAAGGACGGGGGGCAACACTCGCGAACCGGTGACAGGAGCCGAGGCACTGGAACTCCTCCTTCAGCCAGCGGCGATCATCCACATGGTACAAATCCTGCAAAGTGGCCGGTTCGGAAGGATCAAATCTCATTCTCATTGACTCATCCACTGATCAATGTGATTGGTTCACGACTTCATCGGTTTTAGAATGTTTTGGATCTCCAAAAGGTGGACAGAAGTTCGTCCAGACTGACTGTGGGGCACGAAGAAGCTCCTGGACACAGTAAAACGGTCGCATCATTTCACACCCATCAACTGTGCCACATCTATCCATATCCAACCCATCCGGCGGCCGTCGGTCCCGTGTACCAAGTATAAGCTCAAGGAGCAGCACCCCCAAGCTCCACATGTCATAGCTCCGATTGCGCCAAGGCCCATCGCCCCTGAGCCCCACTCGCTGGAGCAGCAAGTCGTCGAAGAGTCCTAGTTGGTTGAGGAATGAATCAATACAAGTCGCAAACATTGATCAAGACTGATCAAGTACAAAGAGTCCACTCTCTTGATATGCTGGGAGCTTGCATATTCCATCCAAATAAACTTCTGATAGACGCAAAACATGGTCTAATTACTCAAGTTGGATGAAGAACGAAATTGCAGGCCCCAACACATCTGGTGTCAAGCCACATTTCCGTAAAGTCACGCCATCTGGAAACCCTGCTAATGTGCACAATGTATATAAATGCAATGGAGTCAAACATTGATAAATAAAGACAGTTCTCTGGCCTGCTTCTGGTGGTTTGTACTCGCTGGTTTCATCATCATCACTGGGTCCCTCCTCAGGCAGTCATTAAAGATATTAAAGTTTGCAGCAGGTTTAGCAGTATTAAGTCGGTGACAAAACCAATGCAGAAAAGGAGCAAGGCCATAAAGCTTTCTCACCTCCTTCCAGGAAATAAAACTGATCCGCCAGTGTGCTGGCTGGGAATCGAACGGATCCGATTTTTCGGCTTATTTGTCAACCAAACACATCGCAAATTCCACCAAACACAGGTTGCTGCATGGACTCTGGTTCCAAGTGACGCATCATGACCCCAAAGGTCGAGACTTGCCACTAAATACTGCAGCACTTTGAGAACCAACCCAACCTGCCAAAGCTTCATACGTTCTTACCCGAAAGCCACAGCAGAAATTTCTGAAAAGTTGATGGATTTTCCACTAACGACTGATGGCAGGAAAGAATGAAAGCTGTGGCGTACATTGCTAAACCATGCTAAACCCCTACCAACCTAACTTGGGACTCCACCAGCATGACCTCCAACTTGCTAAACCCCTCTCCGGCTCTATGCAGGATATTGGTCCTCGCCCGGCGGGGTGGTCAAGGCGCTGCCGAAGTCCCCCAGGCGAAGCACGGGAGGCCACGTGTCGGTGACGAAGATGTTGGAGCCTTCGGGTTGGGCGTGCGTGGACCACGGTGGTCACAGCTTCACAATCCTTCACGTCGCTTTGGAGCGGTCGGGTGGTGGCAATTGTTTGAAGGGTTTATAGCTGGACATGCCATGAACTTCAAGAGAGAATAACAGGACTTGGTGGTCAACTGACATGGACCCTGCAAAAGAGCTTCCTGATGTCAACATAGCTTGTGCAAGACGGTGGTTGGGGGCGGTCGATGTGGCCGTCTGCGGGGGAGGGTAAAGTCCTTTCAACGGTTTGGACTATTACACCTTTCTTCCGTGCTTTTTGTCTTTGTTTCTAGTAGGGATGCCCTCCAACCTACTAGCGATGGTGGTGTTTGCTTGTTTACCACCAACTTGTTTCTGGAATTGTCGAAGGCACGTAGAACATAAGCAGAGCATCGAACATTGAACATGATTGAACCTTGTCACTGGAGAAGCTGTCTTCTGAGGCAACAAACAAGCTAGCATGAATAAATATGAATTCTCGGTAGCAAGTCCCTCAAACCTTAAATGCCCCGCTGTCTCCAGACCGTTCGGCACCCTTGACATCACGGTGCGTGATGTTGGCAGCATGAGCCACAGCCAGACCTGTAACAGTGACTGCAAGAGTGCACATGCGACAGATTCGGGAGTGCAAGCAACCAAATGAGGTGACATGTTGCAAGGCACCCAACGTACCCTTGCGACTTATCAGTCTAGAACCCAGGCCCTTTGCAAACAAGCCAAGAGTCAAACCTGCTCCAAAGCCCCCCCTGTTGACCCAACTGTTTTTTCCAGAGTGCGTGCAACATTGAGTGATTCATGATTCGTTATATCCGCACCTTGCAGAAGCTGGTAAGCAAAATTCTTGATGACTTGTCCTCCCCAGGGCAAGCCCTGCTTGACTAGCCACCAGAATGTGGATCGCTCCACCACCTTGTCGCTCGCAAAGAAAGGAAAATGGATTCACTTGGATTCATGCTTGTGACGTTTTGTTCTTTACGTTTCAAGCCTATGTCATTCACCTTGCAAATTCAACCGCTGAAGGATCTGCTCAGGAAAAAAACAAAACACTAGATCAATGCATTCATTGAAGTCCTTAGGGCTTCTGGGCTAAGAACACAGCTTTCCAAAACCAACGCGATGCCTACAACAGGTGGTTTCTTGACCTAGTCACTGGCAAACACGCATGAACCATTAGCACAGGGACCTGTGAGCCCGGCTGCGTCTTGAAAAGGAAGTGGGTCAAAGAGAAGCCTTCGTTCTCAAAAACAAGCCACAGTTCCTCAAGTTGCAAGGCAAACGAGTGGTTTGTCTGATGCAGCGGTTGCGCTGAGCTTCTACTGACTAAATATATATTTTTTTAATAGATATACTATAACCTTTAACTACAATTGACATGTTGCGCCGTTTCAAAACACTTTTTTGAGCGATTGGGGAACACACATTCCTCGCTGTGTGCAAGGATGCCTCAATAGCAGCGTATCCAACATGATCACGTGTTCTTTTTATTCCTCTTCGGTACCTGTAGGCTTAACGTTTTTTAACCTTAAAGGCTATGCCCATTTTGATATTGAAATTCAATATTATTCAATATTGTGTGGCATCATCCCCGTGTCACTTCGAACTGTCTAAAAAAAGCCACCCACGCGCACACACATATCCAGTCTCTGCCAAGGAGCTACCTGTTTCTTCCCCTCCTCAACCATGCCAATCTCTTCAAACGACTCCAAAAACCTGGGAGCACTATGTCTTGAGCCCATTGAACCACAACATGGACAATTGTAGATGAGTAAATCATATGAGGAACTCTTAAGAAAGGACTCATGAAACACAAGTTAAATGGACGACAAAGACTCCGAAATACCGACTAGCCCTTTGTTCCGTGATCGAGAAAGGTTTCGCCGCTTCGCCGCTTCGCCCCCAGCCAGCCACCTCGCGATGTGGTGCCGGTGCTGCAAGATCGAACCGAAATGGATCTCCCTCTCGCCACTCCTGGAGGGAATCTCCAAGCCAGGTGGGAAAAATCATGAGACAGTAAAGGACAAACATCCCACTTAAAAAGTACAGTAGACTTTCTGAAGATACCCAATGTTCTCAAGTTCAGTTCCTAGCGAAGTAAAGACACAACAAGCAACTAGAATATTGACCCCAAAGCTCCACGATCTTTGGCCCGCATCCCACACGGGCACTCTTTGGAGAAACTAGAAACTCACGTGGACAGCGAACATTGTTCCTAGTAGCGTCCTTGTTACTAGAAGCGATGCACTTGTTCCTAGTAGCGTCCTTGCTACTAGGACGACGAAAGAAGCGATTTGTAAGTGCGAAAGCGGAAGAAGTGCGAAAAACGCCTGAACCATCCTCAATCTGCACTCTCCTGCGCACGTGCTCACCCTTCTCAACGAAGAGCCGCTTAAGGACCACTTCCTTCATGGAGCCGTCCAGTGTGACGGCCCGCCAGGCCTGTGGCCAGGTGCCTGTGAGGACCTGGTGCTTAGCTGATCTATGAAACACCCAACAGCACAATAGCCAACAAAATTTCAAAGGGATGAATGAACATCCAGCCTACAGAAGTGGCTTTTGGCCAGAAGCTCTTTTAACTCAAATTTCCCCAAACATCTAGGAACCAAATGAATAGTGCGAGGGCCATGCTGCGTCCATATTAAGTAGCTAGCTTCTTCTTGTTAGTAGCTATACCTACGCTGTTCAAACCATCAAATTCATGGACAAGTTGAACACCATCTGAAAAAGACCATCCGGACGAAGCGCGAGTGACTTCCCCAGCCTCACCAAAGGAGCCTCGTCCAAGGCGGGGGCCGAAGTTGTAGCGGAAATTGGTCTCAGCTGACTTGCCATGAGTGACAGTCCTGTGGGATGTGGCAAATTCATTGCAAATATTTGGAAAAATACAAGGCAAGGCCTCCAAAGGTAACATTACACTACGTAGGAGGTACTGGGTGGGCCATGGTGGGCCATCTCCAGTCAATTCAGAAACGGTGCCAAACCAAGGTCATTCTTTTAAAAGAAACATCACTTCGGCAGAACTGAACCTTTGCAGTGGAGCCACATCATAGAGATGGTGACGTTGTAAATGAGATACCGCATATTCCTGGGGCAGCTTGAGTTTGACTCTGGCAGCTGGGGAATGCAGTGGTCACAACTGATGATTATTCCGGAGGATAGACATGGCCAATGGCATGTATCCATTTCATTCACTATCACCAGTTGTTCAGTTTTCTGAACAGCTGGGTAACCAGAACTCCGCCAGCCTGAAATTAAAGGGTCACAATATGTCACAATAACATCTGAAGAAAATCAAACAATAGCAAACTGAACTTTTGAATCAATACCACTTCAACGCCTCACCAGGGCCCCCCCAAAAAAAATCAACAGTGGACAGCTTGCAGCTTGCAATTACAACCTCAGTCCAATGATGCCAAAGATGCAAAAAGCAATCAAGCGCCTTACTAGTAGTAACAAGAAGCTAAAAGTAACAAGATGCCTTACTACTAGTAGCTAGAAGCTACTAGTAACAAGGACAATCGCTACTGGTAACAAGGGCATTACATGCGCATTACTGCAATTTGGCCTCACACTGTGAACCCTCCAAGCTTCGTGGACAGCCGGCAGAAAGGCCAAGCGAGAAAGTGCGACATTCGGAAGGTCACTGGCGATCGCCGCCGCAAGACCCTGCGCGGTGCGGCGGGGCTTCGGCGCAGGATTTGCACCCCGAGAGACTAGTAGCGTCCTTGCACCTAGTAGTAAGGCCAGGCGCCCCTAGTAGCGTCCTTGCTCCTAGTAAGGCCAGGAGTCCCTAGTAGCTTCTTGCACTTAGTACCGCCTAGTAGTAAGGCCAGGGGTCCCTAGTAGCGTCCTTGCTCCTAGTAAGGCCAGGAGTCCCTAGTAGCTTCTTGCACTTAGTACCGCCTAGT